TTTGTGCTGAGGTTCTAGGAATTACCACTTACTAGTTACTACTTGTGCTGTTTTATTCCTAATTCAGCGGCAGCTAATGATTATTGAACCTCTAGAGGGTTTTTGGTAGGAGGGATAAGGGGAAGGTGATAGGGATAAGAGAGAAGAGATAGGTGGGTGTTCAATTCGCATGTTGCATGTCAAGACATTGTATATTGTGATTTTGAAAGTTGCTAGCTAGATTATATAAGTGCACTAAATTTGGATAAATTTCAAGCTACCAAGTACCAACTGATGGAATTTATTGGAAAACTTATATATCTGTAAGTAGTTTTGTGGGAAGTTGGTAATTTTGTTAATGCGTAGCATCCTTGAATTGGTAAAATCACTAGTAACAAGAAAATCTGAACTTCGAGAGTCAAAAGCCTGTTCGGTAGGAATTAGTTTACTAAAGGATGCCTTTCTGCCATATACTTCTACTTCTACACAGCTAACAGAAGGGTGAATTTAACAAAAGCATTACGTTGTCAAATTAGTAATCTTTTATGTCTCTTATACCTCTACACAAAGGAACCTTGATATAATTAGATGTAAGGACTTAAGAAGTGCTAGAGAATTTGGCTTAGGTATTAACTCAACAAAATAGTGATTTCATAGCTACAAAAGCAAGAGGTGAACTCGGTCAAAACTGGCATACATAGCTTTTATGTAATGTTCTATATATCTCTCAATATGGTTTTGGTAACAATGCTAAACTGTACTACCATAAAAATTGCAACTTTGAACAAAACTTCAATTAAAGTTTTCATCTTTGTAAAGCTCCATGTTCTTAAATTCTGATTTGAGCATAGGTGATCCATTTGGATTTTGATTTAAAATGGGGACGTTCTTTCTATTTGATGGCTCCATGCTCATGTGTTATCAATGTTATTGTTCTGCCATTGATGTCATGTCTTATTGGTAGGTTGAAGTTCTTTTTTTTACTGCTGGGTTTTTAAGCTAATTAATTATACCTATCTTGATGGTGTTACATGTGTTTAAAGTTTACTCAAGAATCAAGATAGATTCTCCTACTCTTCAATCTTGAAAAACTTATAGTCGCTATAGATGCAATAACTATTGATTGCAGAAGTCCTTTTGACCTGTATTTATGTAGAGTACCTGTTGGTTGCTCATTTAGTCATTAGTCTTTTAAAATCATCTTAATGTTTTTGAAATCAAAATATTTGTGGGAATTCCAAGAAAAGATGTTAGCATATGGATACTAATACATATGTATTACGAAAGTTTTGGTGCTTGTTGCAATCAGGTCTGAAGAGGTTATTAGGATTCTGAGTGATAGAAGAGCATTTGAGACCTCGTTATTAGGTTATCAGTGATAGAAGAGGTTAATTGGTTATTACAAAGTCGGCTTTAGGTTTTGAATTTTTGGATGCTAGTTATGTATTATAAAAGTTGTGGATATACATCTTGCAATAAATATGGGGTGTTTTGCAAAGCTTATGTCAGGATAAGGCCTCAGTTATCACCTTGGTTAATTTTTGTACAAAAAAAAGTAAAGCTATAACTATATATAGGTAAAGTTTGTGTTAGCTACTTGCCTATGAGCTTTAATTCTTGTGAGTATCGTTGAATTGATATTTTGCTTGATGTCTTGTCGGAGCTTCAAAGACATTTGGTTAAACAGAAAAGGTATTGAGGAAGTTTTTTGGTAACTCTATGCTCTAGGATATTTAGGCCTCGTTTGGTTGACGTAAGAAATATATTCCTATGGGAAATTCTAATGCATGGAAAATCACTTTCCTTATAAAATTCCTAGGAATTACACAAATGTGTTTGGTTGTCATGTGGGAATTGTAAATCTTAGGTTTTGGGATTGACCAAAGGGTGGCGTGGGTTAATAAATTCTCATGTTTTGTGGGAAATTCCAATTCCCATGAATTGTGATTTCCTCCATTTTCTTTTTTAATTTCAACCAGACAAGATGACCAAAAGGGAATTCATGGGAATTCTGAGTGCCCATGGAAATTAAGGGCAACTAAACGAGGCCTTAGAATTAGGAAAAGTGGAAGTTTCATTATGGTAAAACTTTGGTGTTTCCTACAACACATTATTGCAGATATTGGTTTTTTTTTTAGCTATGACAATGAATTTATGTTAGCTTTATATAAAGACAACGGATGGTGTTGTAGAAATTGATTTGGCAATATATGCTGCATCAAAATTAAAACAGCATAAGGTGTTGAGTCGGATTTTGATATTTAATAGTAGTAGAAACATCCAAAATACATAGCGCTGTTTTTGAAATGATCTTCCCTTTTTAGCATCCCATCCCCCATTGGTATTATATGTTCCTTATGGAAGGTTAAATGTAAACCAAAAAGACTGCTATTATGAATTTATGATATGAGGAGGAAACGATAGCCTGTTGTAGAATACCAATCATAAATTTTTGTATATGAATTACTACAGAAACAGTTTTCTTTAATTTTGCATGCTAGGGATTACTATAAAATAGGAGTATGTGATTGGAAGATGATTGGCCTGTTGACCTGTTGGGCTCGTAATACCTTCTTCTTGTTTTACATGTACTTTGAGTTTGGACTGCTGCTTATATTTTGCTTCCTTTTTTTTTTTTTTTTTTTTTTTTGGGTAAGACCTTGATTGTAAGACATTGTGTATCTCTCCAAGCCATAGAACTGGGGGGGGGGTGTTAATACTATTAGTGAACCCTTGAAATCTGAGACTGAGGTTGCTATCAGCAAAGCATCTCAACTGCTTGGGTTGCTTCTTGATGTTCATCTGATCTTCATGATTGTTTATTGTGGTTAATTAATACTGAAGCTTTATTTGTGTCTGGTTTGCACAACTTTCAATATGGATTACTTTATTGTCCCAGTTTTATGGTTAGTGAGACTTTGTATGCGTACTCCCCTTCTTCCAGATAAAAATAAAAGAGAAATACAGTTGGAAGGGAGCATGGGAAAATCTGGCATCTTTGATATTTGTGTCAAATGATTGTGTTCTTCCTCTTGTAGGAGGCCGTCCACGCTGGAGGAGATCCTCACCATTGAGATCAAACCGGGCTGGAAGAAGGGTACAAAGATCACTTTTCCAGAAAAAGGAAACGAGCAGCGGAACGTTATACCTTCAGATCTAATTTTCATCATTGATGAGAAGCCTCACAGCGTTTATAAGAGGGATGGTAATGATCTTGTTATCACTCAAAAAATCTCCCTAGTTGAAGCTCTGACTGGATTTAATGCACAAATAACAACACTTGATGGACGTACTTTAACAGTACCCATCAACTCTGTTATTAGCCCTTCATATGAGGAGGTGGTTAAAGGAGAGGGAATGCCTATCCCTAAGGAACCTTCTAAAAGAGGTAACTTGAGAATAAAATTTAACATCAAGTTTCCAACAAGGCTTACTTCAGAGCAGAAGACTGGTATCAAGCGGTTGTTATCTTCATAAATGGTGGTCATGGCTTAAACTTTGTGTATGCCACTATGCCTTATTTCATCTTGCTGTTTTGTTTTGCAAAACATTGCACATTCCCAAGTTAGACAGCTTTTGAAATTCTTAATTATGATGGGATTGTATTTTCCCTCGCTTAGCCTCATGACCGTTCTTGTCATGTATATCTCTGAATTCCATGTGTGTTGATTTTCTTTGAAAGTCAGTTTGATCTCTGCTCATGGTTGTTTCATTTTCTAACCTGAGGGCACCTGACTGTTTCATGATAACTTTCAATTGCTATCCATGCAGAAACAGCAAGGGCATTGATGAAGGAGAATTCACATAGTAAATTTTGTTTATTAGTGTTAATGTATGCTCAACCTATATTGTTGCAAAACTGACAATGTGTGGTTGCAGTGTTGCTCTAGCTGTCGGAGTGCTTGGACGTGCGGCCTACATTGGTACTGCATGGTGTAAGCTTGAGTTAGGCTTATATAGGAGTTCGTTTTTTATATTTGTTGTTTGAGTTTTAACTTTTAATTTTAACATGAATGGCTGAATGGTTTGGCTGTAATTATAGTTATTTCAGCTCAATAAAGCAATTTTTTTTTAAATACTTTTTTTTTTTTTTCCGGATTTCTTTGATATGATAAATAACATTCCTCTCTTTTAAATGTTTCAATGTGTTCGGACTTTGGATGCTTCTGGATTGGCTAGGTTAAATTTTGTGTAATATTAGTTTCTAGTATTTTATTTTTTTGGTAAAAGGGATTAGTTTCTAGTATGGTTGATTTGTAGTTAAGTTTCAGGTCAAGTTTTTTTTTTCTCCCTTGAAGATGTTTTATAAGGAGTATAATTATATCCTGTGATAGTTTCTTACCTGCATATGCACACCTCGCAAAGATTAAGTGATTGGAAAGTATGGGAGTAACCCAAGTACTTTGAGTAATATTTGATGTTAGGTTAAAAATTATTGTGTCATACTTCCTATTAATCTACAGTATGATACATTATAAAGAATATGTAGTAAAGGAATACTGGAATAGTTAACATTGTGACATTTTAGGACGCAAGGAATAATATGCTTTTTATATTTGAAATAAGTAAGCATCTGAGACATAACACTAAAAGTACCTTTTAGCCTTCAGGGCTTTTACATGTACTTTATTAAAAAAAAATAATTTCTTTTCGTGTACCACTTTGACTGCCACATACCAGTGGAAGTTGAGTTTCTTAAAAAAGATAAGGTATGTAAGAGAATTAAAATAATTTTAAAACATAGGAGTGGATACCATAATTGAAGAGATGCATGTAAGAAAAAATTTGTTAAGACAATTGATGCACTTAAAAAAACTGGATGGAGTAGTATCTTTTTTTCTTAGATGAATATGGATGAAGTGTATGGCAAAGATTATTATATACATTCGAGATTCCAAGTGTAAGTTCACCTAAAGTATTTTTGCTAATTTTGTTAATTATTGTTTATATAATCATCAAATGAGCAAAAAAAAAAAAAAAAAAAAAAAAAAAAAAAAAAAAAAAAAAAAAAAAAAAAAACTCTAGATGCACCTTACACCCTAGTATATATAAATTTTTTCAATATATAGGCATTGGTATTTTAAAGATCCAAATTGGTTGCCAAAGTAAAGGACTGGAATATATATTTATTTATTGACTGATGTTTACAATTCAGAAACTTGATGGGATTTAAAGTTTTAAAGGTTTTAATTGAAGAGTAAAAGATTGGACTGGAAAGAAGAGTAATTAGAACATTTTACAAAGTCTTGCAAAGTGGAAATTTACATATTCTAGATCATAGAATAAGAATTCTAACATTAGTTATTTAGTTTTACTACTCCGTACAAATTTTTGGCAGCAGCTTAGGACTAATTCTTATTACCCTAAATCAGAAACAGTGGACAATTCTTCTCTAGAATTAAAGGTGTCGAGGCCATCACACTCTCATTGATCAGCTTTTTCTGATCTGCTAATCTATCTTCTAGTTCATGCAGTTCAGCACGCAGCTTGGATGTTGTCTCAAGCTCAAGCATAGCTTCCACCTGCTCATTGTTGTTGTGAAGGGCTATTGCTCTTTCAACATAGGGAACTAGCCAGTCTAATTTAAAGTTCATCGACTGAAGGTCGACTAGGGTAGATCTCAAGTAGTCAGCTTGAGATTCGTTCAAGGATGCACGTGTGTTGTCTTGGAGAATAACTATCATCTTTGCTAGGGACTCTAAAGCCCATGTCAAGAGACCAATACTGCAGACTGCATGATCTTCGATTATATTCCCATACTTAGCCCATATTTTTTGCAACACTGGAATTAGATCAGGGCTAACTTCAAGTCCTTCAAATATATCTTCTGATGCAACGTTTTCAGGTGTCTGTGAAACAGCAAAGGTACAGAGATATGAGACATCAATATTGTTGCTCATAACTGCTATCAACGAAAGAACATAATCCTATCAAATTTACCTCAGTTGGAAAACTATTTACTGGATCCGAACCGTTGCTGTTCTCATCTGGAATTTCTGGAAAAAAAAAATAAAAAATCTAAATTTTCAGTGCTAATTATCCAACTTTTATGTAAATTCGCATTTAGCTGAGCTCAGATAAATTTTTTGAAACAGAAAGGAAATGGAAAAGGCAGCACTTGAACACTGCACGATTGCAAAGAGGACTTGGGAGTACTACCTTGCTGAGCTTCGTTTCCTTGGCAGGCAGACTGAGAACAAGCCTGAATAGCTCCTGCGCCCTCCTCTATGCACTGGAAAGAGGACTTGGGAGTACTACGTTGCTGAGCTTCGTTTCCTTGGCAGGCAGACTGAGAACGAGCCTGAATAGCTCCCGTGCCCTCCTCTATACACTGTAAAGCGGCAGAGGGTTCTGCTGCTTCTGAGCAAGACATTGAACCAATATCACTGTTGGAATCCATATCTTCATCTTCCTCAGAGTCCCTTTTATAAAAGCAACATAATAATCATAACATTTTTCTAGAGCATCAAGTAGTTTTCGCCCCTTGTGCCTACTTAAAGCAATTGATATATACAAGTAGCTCTATGTGCTCAACCTTTAGTTCAAGATAAAACAAATATCATAACAAAAAAACTGAAAAAATCCCATAGCAAAATCATGTAAGTTTGGTTCTTTAAGCATATATCAATGGCACAAATCAATAGTTCCATATTAAACAAACATAAAGTATGAATCTCAAATAGAAGGCAGAAAGTTTTAGACCAATTTTGGGATTCTTACTCGGGCAAAAGCCAAGAAGGCGGAGGCCAAAACAACTCAGATAAGCCCGGTTTAGTAGTTAAAGGGCGACAACGATCCTCATCCAAGTAGTACACACCAACCTCCATATACTTGCTTACTCCCTCAAAAAGTTTATAATCCTTACAATACTCTCGAGAATGTAAAGCAAATAAATTCTTAGGGAACACAATACAATTCCCTCGACTTCCCGGAATTTCCTTAGCCTTAACAGCAAACACATTATCGAATGTCATAAACAAAATCCAATCTCCCATATCACCCATTTTAATCCAATCATGCTCTTCTTCTCTTAGCAAATAAACCTCGAATTTTTCCTCATTTCTAACAATCATGAACACCAAACTATAAATCAACACCAAGAATTTACGGCTAACTCTTGCATAACAATGATCATGTATAGTACAAAGAGGCACACTCATAGTTTCAATGACCCTACATTCACTCCCATCAATAAGATAAGCTGTACCTTCGCGATCAATACCACAAAGTAGTCCATTTCGCCGTAAGCTTATAACATCGTCGAATCGAAAACCCGGGCCACGATCAATGAAACTCCACTGCCCATCCAACTTCAAAGTACCCAAACTACCACCCTGACTAAGCAATAGTACCATGACAGACCAAGTATCTTCAGTAGGCGAATCCTCGTCTCGAAACAAAACTACTTTACTCTTTGTAGGATAATTAGAACAAGGAGCAAAACCCTCAAATTGGTAGACATCTTCATTGCCATTAGAGAAGCATAAGTTAAGGCCTTCGCCAATGTGGGATACCTTGAAATCAAAAGTACAGAGCTTTTTAGGGAAATCACTGGGGAGATCTTTGATGGGGTTTTTGGAAAGAGGAAAACGAACACGAAACCGACGTCGATTTAATTCTTCAACTGATACAATCCAAGATTTAGAAGAGATACTGGGGTCTGAATCTTGAGGGGGTTGAATGAGGTAAAGGGCACTACCCACAAAATTGATCGGCCGATTTGATCGGATAAAAATCGAGGAAGGGAGAATTGGGATTGTTTTAGGGAGTGCAGGGTATAAGAAATAAGTTGTGATTGGGTAAGAGTGTGAAGATCGCCATTTCTTGCAAACTGCTCGAAAACGGTGGCGTTCGAAGCGAGAACCGGTGAAATTGGCGATTTTTTCGAGTAATTCTTGAGGAAGTAAAGACCAATCTACTTTCCTACGTTGAATTTGTGACATTTTATCAATTGATTGGAAAAAATTAGGGATGAAGAAGTGATGATTGAAGGGGTGGAAGAAGATTTAACGGGCAAAAGATGATGTGCGCGGTAAATTTTGATTTAGGAATGAAATTTTAAATGTTTGGCTGAATTTTGTAATTTGCCGCCAATATTTTTGGGTGTTAGTTTAAAAATTGGGTGAAAATTGAAATTTTCCCTCTATTGAACTTTTTGGGAATTGGGATTCCTATCCACAAAATCTTAAGTAGCCCGTACAATTAGGTATGGTCCACGATAATTATTTCCGGGATCATGGCCTCATGGATGCAACTTGATGAGTTGATGTGTTAGAGGTAGTACTGTCAAAAATCGAACCAAACTGGTTCAAACCAATGCGAATGACAACCGAATCGATTAAAAATCGATTTTATGAAACCGAAAACCGACCCGAACCGCTTGTTAGTAAACCCGAAACCGAACCGATCCGAGTAAACGTTAAACCGTTTAAGAACCGAACCAAATCTAAACCGAACTGAAAGGAAACCGAACCGAAAATGAACCGAACCGTTTCTAACCCGAAACCATTCGAACTGGTATAAAAACCGTTTTCACCAAACCGTTAACAAACTGCAACCTGTTTACACCGAACCGTTTATAAACCGAACCGCTTAGAAACCGAACCGTTTAACGTTTAACAAAAAAAAAACCAGCACCACCAACCCCAACCACCCTAACCCTCCCTGTCGAGCCACCACTTCCCCACCAAACCAACCCCCTAACCCAAACCATAACCCACCCAGATCCCCCCCCCCCACACACACACTAACCACCACGCCTAACCACCTCCAACCCACCCACACCAGACAACCCATCCCACACTACCCAGACCAGACCCCCCCCACCCAAACCAGACCAGACCACCCACCCCACCTACCCACCCTAACCAAACCAAACTTCCCGCACCCCACCCACCCACCTTGACCACCACCACCACCCTGACCAAACCTCCCCTGTCGAGCCACCACCACCCTACCTAACCAACCCCCTAACCCAAACCCTAACCCCAACGAAAAAAATAAATAAAAAAAAAAAATCAAATCGGACAAAATCCAGAGCACCCAATTCGTAAAACCAAAACAAAAATCCAAACTCGAACCCAAAATCGAAACAAAAACCAAAAAATCGAAAAAAACAATTTATACATTACATAGTTCAAAAATCCGAAAAACCAGATCTACAAACTTACATTACAAAATTTATAAACTTACACTACATTTTCATTAAAAAATAATAATAATCATAAATTTTGTGAAAAATAAAACTAGATCTGCAAACTGACGGTTGTTGATGTTGTTGTTGGCTGGAGGTGACGCGGCGGCTGGTTGTTGATGTTGTTGTTGAGCGATGGCTGGTTGTTAAAGGTGACGCGTGGCTGGAGGTGATGCGGTTGTGGTGGAAAGAGGTGACGCGTGGGTGGTTGTTGCGGTTGTGGTTGTTGATGTTGTTGTTGAGAGGAGAGAGAAAGAGAGAGGGGAAAAAGGAGAAATTGGTGAGGGAAAGAAAAGAGGCGGTGAGGGAAAGAGAAGAGGAGAGAGAAAGAGAAAGGAGAATTTTCCAATAAAATCTAAAATTTGTTTTGCCTTTTGGTTTTTGGAGGGAAATTTCCCACCGTTCATATTTTGACGAAATTGTCAACAAAAAAAAAATCAATTTTCCACTTTGTAAAATTCAAAATTTTTAATTTTATTTTAATAACATTAAACAAACTTTTATACAATTAATTAATCACATGGCTTCAAAAAAAAATTAATTACATTTCTCGAATCCCGATAAAACGATATATACTTTCATAATATCAGCTTTTATATTTTTTGTAACACACACATTAACAAAGTTATTTAAATTATAAAATGTGAATCGGTTAGCGTGTAAATGTCTAGCGTTGCGATTAATAAAAAATCGAATACCGTTCAATAATATAATGACGTCATATCTTAGAGAGTTAGAAATACTACGGATTTGTTATATGATTATATTTATATCAGTTTAGTTGTGCCTGTAAGGCTGTAAGCAATACACTTGTAACCGTGTAAACTTATAAATGATTGAATTGACTAGTAGATTAGTACATAAATACAAATTACTTAATTAGATATGAGTCATATGACTACATGAGTGATTGACTAATATGACTGTATGAGCAATTGTCAATTTAGTATAGTTGCATAACAGATTAACAGCGTACTAGACTATCCTACTCGGTAATATACTAATAGCATTTCTGTATTTGATGTATTAGACTCAAGTTAAAAGTTACTCTTTCTTATTAACTTGTTAGTCTAATTAAGTAATTAGTAATTATTAATTAGTGACTTAAGCCTTAGGGGTAAACTAGTAAAAGATATACAAAAATATAATAATCTTATGATTCTCATCCCTTTATACTAATAAATATTTAACTATGAGAATATGAGATGGTTAGATGTTATTTATATTTATAATCGATTGAAAGAATCAATATTACATTCTAATTCATTAATGTTTTCTTTCATTATACAAATCAAACTACTTTGTAATATCTTCATATATAACTTTATGCAAATATATAATGATAAATGAGTCTTAATTATCAGTCTTGTTGACTAATTAAGTATCGAATACCAAATTGCAAATTTTGATGTCACAACAACTCATCAAATCATGATTATGACACTATTAATTAAATGATCAAATAAGAAGCAGATAATAATCTGATAGTAAAACAATAATACATTAATGCACTAAACTTTTATAATCTAATTTATAATAAACTAGTAAGATCAGTATGGCTAAACTTGAAACATAACATGATATGTGATTAGGGGTTTTTTCCCCACCAATCACCATCTGACAAGTGGACCAATCAGGTTCCGCCATGTGTCCGTCACATGGGCCAATAGGAGCCTGCCACGTGTCAAGCAATGATTTGTCCACTATGGACCAATTACGACACGACACGTGTCCTTCCCATGACACCTGGGATAACCGGTCACCTAGGCCCAACTTCCGAGGGAAGCCCAATCAGCCCAAGGTTAACCTAAACCTAGATTGGCACGTTTCCCGAGGTTATAAATACCTCCCTTAATCCTCATTAAGGGAGAGGACGCAAAAAACGCAGATTACACATATTAAACACTCTCACCTAGAGAGACCCAATCACTTTAATTTCCGCATTAATTACTCATTAATCAAGTACTAACTTGACCGTCGGAGGCGGAGCTCCTACCACAAGGAGTCTCCGTTTGTTTTGCAGGTACAGGCGTCCGGTTCTAGTCTCGGAATTGTAACTCTCCCGCAGGACATCTGAAAACCCCGAAACATTTTGGCGCCGTCTGTGGGGAGAGTACTTCTGAGATGGCATCCACGTTTGTACCGGCTCCTGAAGAGAGACGTCCCCTGGACGACCCTCTAGTTCACTCGGACCACGATACTGAGAATGAATTTGAAGTTGAAGCTCACACAACTTCAGACGGGACCCTAAGGGCCCGACGTACCCGTCATACCGAAAGGAGGGAACGGGAACATCTTCAAACTGGAAGCGAGCCGACTGATGGGTCTGCTCCCATCACCAGGAACAAACTCATGACCTTCATGAGGGACTTCAAGGGAGAAATTCAAGAGTTGATCAACAAGAAGCCGCCTGCTCTGGACAAGGAGCAGTCGGCTAAGAAACCCTCCACTTCACGGAAGAGGAAGCCAGTTCAAGGGCGAGAGGCTACTCCTCATCCTAAATCTAGGAAGTGGGAGCCACCTGCCCTTGATTTCACAAAATACCGTTTTCCTACTCCAGGAAATAGGAAACCTGTTCGTCATATTCAGGCGGACGGGTCGGGGAAAACATACACAGACGCTCGGCTACTGCTAGAACAGAAGAAGAGTGACCGATTGTCAGAGTCGGCCTCTACTTCAAACTTCCAAGACAGTCTGCGAAATACCTCGATGAGGCATACTCAGTCGTATCATGAGAGTCAGTTAGGCGGCACCTCCCGTCAGTCCGGCTTTCATAGCGACCAGGCGGTACCAAACTTACCGTTTGTACCGCAACAACAGTATTTTTTACAGCTGAGCGCGGGGAAATTAGGTCGTTGACTAACCTCCTCACGGCCAAACAAAATTTATTATAATCCTAAACTAACCCCTAAACAAGTCTAGTGGTAAGTTCGGAGTCGAACCACAAGGAACGGTAATGTTGGATTGTTCTCGATCTAATGCTTAAGCTACGCCGAAGTCGGTTTATGGATAGTGGACACTACAACTACACTAACACACATATAAAGATCAAGATCTTACAAAGTCTACTAGGGGCAAAGATCCACTTTGAACAATTAACAAGTTAATGGGAATCGATTTGATAATCAATCATGCAAAGAAAGAATTAAAATGGGAATTAATTACCATCAAGAGCAATCTCTCAAATTCCTAGCCTAGATCCCTCATTGACTAGGTGCATAGAAGAAATTTACCCAAAATGCAATCAAATATATAAATTCTAATTCACAATCCCTTGTCAAACTAGAACTAACATGCAATTAAGTTTGCTATCTTGGGAGATCAATCCAATCTAAAACAAACAACATGCCATCATCAATTCAATCAATTTACTCACACAATTATCATCAAATTTATCTCAAATAACTCAATTAACCATAACAAAGCTTCACTCAACACCTAGTAGAAGGAAATCTACTCAAACATGATTAACAAAGCAATTAATAAAGCATAAAGAGAGAAGAGAGTAAGAAATGCTCATTGATATAAAATGGAGATCTTCAAATCATCAAATTCCTCCTTTGATTATCCAAAATCCATGAAAACCATTGTTTCTCTCACTTTCTCTCTCCAAAATTTGAGAGTTTCTCTCTCTAAAAACCTAAAACTACTGAAAATATGAATTCTCCCCTCTAAAATGAGCAAAAAATCTATTTATAGCCCTTACTAAATTGCCTAGGAAGCTCCGCAAAAAGTCGAGCAGCGCGTAGAGGAGCGGGCGTGCACCCCTCAGGAGCGGGCGCT